ATTGAAAAAGGGAGATAATATAAGCATTAAGAAATCAGAAAATATGAAATAAAAATGATGACTCCAAAATTATTACAGAAGTTAATAAATATGGAATTAAGAAAAAGGATAGCCAACACAACTCATGGGAGACGGAAAAAGCGAGAGAAAACAATAGTCAAAGAAAATAGAGAAGAAAATACTCTTGAAATAGAGTAAATTAAAGCATGAATCTGCAGATTCAAGAAGCCTGTGTCAGGGGATATTAGATACAGGGTGATCAGGACCAAGATATAATCCAGTAACATTCTAGAAGTAGAGACTACATTGGTATTCAATTAATAAAAGGAAACCTCAGCCAATGATAAAAATAGTCCATAAACCTCCGACTTCCCTACAGTACCATTCCAAAACTAAAACAACCCAATATTTTCACCAAGGTCTAAGGAAAAAAATATAACTCAATAATTTTATACCTCTCCTCTACTTTAGAGGCAATGGACAGACATTGTCAAATACACAAGGCCCTTGCGGAAGAATTAAGTCAGTGACTAAAGAATATAGTATTGGGACTATATATATTCTATATGTTCTTGAGACTATAGCATGAGAAGTAGCCAGAGCTTGTTTTTCACTTTAAGAATTAGCATCAGCTTAAGATATTTTAAACGTTTCACATTACAGAAACTCTGTTGGAATGTATACAAGGCAAAACAGAATGCATTTTTTAACGTACTATTTAATCAAAACATATGGAGCAATGAAAAACGTGATGCTTAATAAAAATTAAATGGGACTCTGCATAAGGTAGCTAATTAGCGCCAGGTGCAGGCAACATTAAATGGTTGTAGGAGGGAGAAGATTACCTCAGGTCATAGGGTAACAGCTTGTCCAAAAAAGAAAGTCTGCAGGGAATAAAAGTATAGGTTTCCTTCCAAGACACACTCAGGATGCCTTTTGCAGAAAAGTGGATCTTGACAAGAAAGGGTTCAAATATAATACCTATATGTTTTCTGATTTTAAAAAAAGAAAGCTTGGAATATTTCCAGTATTAAGTTAAATTATATACAGCACATAAAATTTTCCAGATTTCAAGGAGGGATGTAGGGTGGTGGTGTCAGAAATATCAGTTGTGTTATTCTGTAAGTAATGTCTGCTTTATAATTTTCCCTGAATGAATTTTTCAAATACTTTTTTATTGGGCCTCTTAGTGGTCTTAGTAATGTGTTTTAGAGCATGTTAAAACAAAACTACACTTCAACTCAAACAGAACTTTCACAAATGAGGATATATTTAATTTTTGTGTTTAAGCAGTGAAAAGATTGGGAAAAATAAACAATGTCCCTATAGATTTTTGATTAGAATAGTGGCTGCTTCTTTAAAATATTAATTTAAAAAATGGGAGTTTCGCCTCAAACATATATATCTCTCAATACCTGCAAATTCTTGTGTGGTCAATTATATTCTTCCATCAAAAGGTAACATACTTTTGAGTCACTAAATAAGGAAATACTTAAAAGATTCCATAAAGTTGTGTATTGTCAGTTTGTTTTTGATATTTTAAGCAGTTTCACCTGATGCACACAGCTTTTAGTTTCCATACTGGAGGCAGTCAGCATCTAGCATATGGTGTACATGATATAAAGCGGAGTAGGGCTCAGCTTCACAGGCGAGGCAGCTGGTAGATTTGACAGTTCTTTTCCAAATTACTCATCATGTTTTGAGTTGCTGCTAGGAAAAAATGTGTTGCCCATATCCAAAATAGATGTTCTTTTTTATTTTTAAGCTTGGGAAAGGCTTCCAATGGAAAATAAGACAGATGGGTATAGGAAGCAAGATATTTATCCCTATTTAGACCAGTTTCTTCTGTCAGTTCCCTTATCAGAACTTATCAAAAGAGTTTTCCAAATAAATGAATATTTCATCATTCTTAGTTAACTATGTCCTAGGATGTACTTTAGCTTCTCATACAAAGAATGCCTTTGGAATAATAAAAAGTCAAAGCCACAGGAAAGGCTGGCAGACTTTTAATAATCAAAGTGGCATTTGTCTCAATTTTGTGGTAACCAGGAAATTATGGAAGTTGGATGAAAGGACACTTTTTGAAATGTTAACATTGCCAATGAGCAAGAAAAATCTGGAGAATACTTTTCTCCATTGGCAAGTATGTTGATTGTCTGCTTTAAGTAATATTTCCACCACTGACTTAACTCTAAGTTAAGAGTTTTTCTACAATCTCAAACATATAGACCAGAAGGTGTTTATTCTAACTGCAAATTGCATAGTTTGGCCAATTCTTTAATTCAAATGCAGGTCATAAGAGTTATCTGTTTGACAAAACTCACAGTTTGGAGGTTTATAATGATTTCTAAATGGGACTTTCTACACAGACTACCAAGTTTGTTTGTTTTTTTGTTTGTTTGTTTGTTGTTTGTTTTCATCCTGTGTGGAATGTAATGAGTGATTTCTGAATCTGTAAGTATTCTGGAATTTGCATGTATTTCTGATTTTCTTTCAAAAGCTTTAGATAGGAACTGTCACTTGAATTTCCTCAAAGTTTTAGATATTTGGTACATATTTCTCCACCTAATTAATACTGGACTCCAAAGCTGGATTTTTTCTCCCCTTTCTGTGGTTTTTACTTTGCAGAACAACTTTTATGCTATTGCTAAGAGCTTCAAAGTTGAAAAACTTGCATTTCAATTATCCATTAACAAAGATTAATATTAATGTACTTTGCTAAGAGCTTCCAAGTTGAAATATTTGTGTTTTAGTCAACTAACAAATATTAATATTAATGTAGTTTTCTGTTATTTGACTATTTAATTTATGATTTAATTGATTTGTAATTTTGGATCTTACAAAAAAAGTTGTCATATTTATAGCTCCTGAATTAAAATTCATGTAAAAAGTTTATGCAAAGAAAAAAGCAAGCTAATTTCCTCATTATCCATCTCATCTTTGGTGATCCAATAAAAGCATATCCAACTTTCAGTTTCTAAAATTAATAGTAGTTGTCAAGTTTAAAGTATAGTTCTTCATATTTCTGAACACTGTCATAAGTCATGGGAGATAGATTTATGAAATGACAGACTTTCCCAGAATTAAATACAATGTGTCAAGAAGCTGTTCTTTAGTTCCAGCCCAATGGGAATTTAAGAAATCATTTTAAACAAGAATAAAAACAGAAATAACTTTGAAAAGCCTTGTAGGTGACAAGTACATCTCAATGCTCCCTGTACATCATATTTTCTAACCAATATTTTCATATCTTTTTTCATTTGAAAAAGGAGTTTTAAATGTATTGAAAATTATTAACATATTGTTTTATGTTTTGGGAACTTGTGAAATAATATAAATCAAGTGGTCATAGTTTATCAGCATAAAGTTTCTATATATAAAGATACACAATTTCAGTGTTGTTTTTCCTGTTAACTTGAAAAGTTATCTTATTATTTCCCATTTGCTTCTTAATTTTAGATATCATACATAGGCAGGTAAAGTTATTATTAATTAGAATTCATACAAAAACTAAAAAATGAGGCTTAAAACCTGTAACATATTCTTCAATTTCCTACATCCCTAATTGTAAAAATCATGACTAATAATTGTGTTTAAAGAAAAAAAAGCCTGCATTTTATGGTAAAATTAATTTTAAGCTATAACTGTGTTTCAAAAATATAAAATTATGAAATAATATATGTCTCAGAAATTAGGAATGTGTTAACCAATGCCGGCACACAAAAAGAGTTTTCACATTTATAATCAATCTCAAGCTTCATTCCTACAACTGCTTTGCTAAGTCAATACTATTCTATCCATTTTATAGATAAAGTGACCTAGGATCAGGGATATTAAGCGGCTAACAAAGGAAGCACTGCTCAGAAATAGACCAGAAACTCAGATTGGGAAACCAAAGTTCTATATTCTGTATTTGCAATCTATGCAAGAATATCCTACATAACAATAAGGTTTGTGAATGCTTTAACTAATGGAGAAAAATGCTATGAGTTTGGACTAATATATATCAAATGTCAATGTCAAGCCAGTGTATTAAGAAAGCTTTTGAAGTTAGATAGACATTTAGAAAGCTGTATCAAATCAAATAACTTATTAAAGTATCTCCTGATACATTAAAGAAGCACTATTGTAAATTTATCCATCCATCCATCCATCCGTCCATCCATCCATTTATGCATCCATCTGTTTATTTACTTATAATATAATTACCAACTTTCTTTTATTTACACACATTTGTTGGTTAAGCTAAACTTTAAAAGAGATGCAGAAAGTTTGTTAAATCAATGATTTTTTTTAAATTAATGAATTTGAAAAGATCTTATTTTCCAAATGTTTACAAATAAATTACCACTTAAATTACTGCAAATGCAAACTGCTAACTTCAATTTTGTAAAGCCAAATGAAGGATGAGATATGTTAAAACCACCAACTTTTCATGCCAGAGAACACAACTCATCCTTCACTTTTCCTCTTAGTGTAAGCATCTACTTAGAATAACTTGAAGCATTCTACCAAATTTTGTTTAAATAGGCCAAACAGATAATAAGTATACAGCAGTTAAAAATGCCCTTACAAAGGAAGGACTCAAAGCAGTTTAAAATAAAAGAATTGCATTAAATAATCAAACTTCTTAATTTGGTTCATTATTGTTTATCCTAATGAATATCAAGCATAACTAATAAGTGATTATTTTATACATACAGGAAAAAAGGAATTATTGTATTTTTCTCTTTAAGAAAAGTTAGCAGTTTATAGTATTAAACATTCATATATTATTTTCCACGAAAATCATTACCTATTCATTGTTAATAGCAAAAGTCACTACAAAATGGTTTATCAAAGTAATGAATAGATCAGGAGCAACTTTTATACAAGATAGTCCTGCAAGTAATATTTTAACTTGGGTGAATAAATACATTTCATTCTATCAAATCCTACTATGCATGAGTTATGAAGCATTGTACAAGCCATGCTAAATGGATAGAAGGATGGCTACTTACCAACAGGGCGAGCTGTAGACATTACAATGGTGTGGTGAGAACATAAAGAAGAAATTAAAAAAAAAAAAAGAAAAAGAAAATTATCAGAATGCATGATGTGTAATGTTACATTTAAGTATGGACAGTAGAGTGATTTCTAGTCTTATAATTCAAGTATGAACAGGATGTCTGAGTTTGATTAAAAATGAAAGTTATAAACATAATTCTAAGAAAATAATTATTTTGCATTCTAGAATTAGTTTTGTGATTGAGAGATATTTTATGTAAAGTCTTATTGTCATCACTTACTATAGTTATTTCAAAGAAACTTTTAAACAGCCTGTATAACCCCAAAGTTAAGAACCTGATGAATATAACTATTCAAGTCACAGACTAGCAAATGTCATGTCAATAAAAGAAGGCTTCACTGTCTGATTTAAATAGCAATTGGATTTTAAGCATGGTTAGTCAGAACCATTACAAGGACTATAGAAAAGCCCCTGATGCTGCTTTTCAGCCAGTAATAAGTTAAGATCACATCACTTTTCATCCGTGGACAGGGTGGATGAAAATATAACAAATAGGTTGGAACATCCTTAGAGATTTCAACTGAGTAGCCCCCTAACTACTGTTAAGCTTGCTTGCTTTTTCTTTCTTTCTTCTTTCTTTTCTCTCTTTCTTCTTTCTTTCTTTCTTTCTTTCTTTCTTTCTTTCTTTCTTTCTTTCTTTCTTTCTTCCTTCCTTCCTTCCTTCCTTCCTTCCTTCCTTCCTTCCTTCCTCCCTTCCCTCCTTCCTTCCCTCCCTCTTTGGCAGAGGGCAAGAAATAATGACTGACAAGTTGACTCTTGTTCACACTGAAAATGGCTTTCAAACTGCTGCTTAAACAAATTACTATCTTTTTTTTATTATACCATAACTTTCACCACTAAAATCAGGCTGGCTCCATTATTAGTGCACAGCAATTGTAAGAGACACACATGGGCTTAATAATACGTTCTTTAAAGAAAATAATGCCAAATCAATTTAGATAGTAAACCACTTTATATAAAAGCAATGGACAAATATAAAACATATGGTGCCATTATTCAAATGAAGAAAAAATATATTTAGTAGCACTTGAACTTTTATGAACTCTTACATTCAAAATATAAACTTACACGACAAACAAATGTTTCACCTACATCCCAGTGGATATAAAACTGTAGTATGTATATAATGTGATTGTAGAATTTAGGATAGTTTTGTCTTGATGATGTCTCATTGGACATGATGAGATAGATAGTCATTGAAACCATATTTATAGGCATTCATTCACTCAATCAATATGTCATGATACCAGCTTTGTGCATTCTCTGAAACAATATGGAGGTGCCTCTGTAGGAGATTCCTGGCCTTATAATATTTACAATTAGAAGGGGGGGGGAGTAAGATAAATCAAAGAAGAATAAAGCAATTATAGCAGCAGGATGAAAATTCTAGCTTAGTGACCATCTAGTGTGTCCTACAGTCTATGAGGTGTTCACCATAGCAAGAGGGAGAAAAGAAGAAAGTTGCCCAATGAACAGTTTCTTTCCTTTCATGGGGGAGGTGTGCACAAAAATAACAACCAAGGACAAGACAACAGACTAACATCATAAAGTTGTGCCTCATTTGAAAGATGTATCTCTTCATTTTGTCAATGTCCAGTAGGAAAAGAACTATGTCTTTTCATTTTGAATTTGCATTTTTCAGGTGCCACCTCAAGCTGAATCCCCAACATAATGTTTCACTTAGAAAACCAAAAGGCATTTGAGTCTATGATATCACAGAAAAAGAAGAAACTATGGCAAAAAATCATGTCTAAAAAAATAAAATATATTTCTCTTTCACTTAGTCTAGAGTAATATTTTTGAAAAAGGTTTTATTGCGCTAGAAGCAAGATAGTTTTTTCCATTAAAGTCTTGACTTATGCAAAGACAGTTTGAGCTACTGAAAATGGGGGAAAAAACGTGTTTACAAATATGTGGTTTGTGTCAACTCATTTTGGATCCATTTAAAAACATTCTATTAGATCATGAATTATTTGACTAGAATATAAATGTTGGGAGGTTGGATGTTGTCTCGCATTATTTCTTTCTAATTTTATGTTTGTCAAGTCAGCAAAGGGAGCTACTTGCTGTTAAGTTTAATTTTATAGTCTATTTTTACCTTATTCTGAAGTGGAAAACAACTGAGTAAATCTCTGTTTCAGATTTTGACTATAAAAGTCCTTTCCTTTTCCCCAATTGAATATCATGATAAAATTTTAGCAGAAACATCCCAATTAAACTTCTTGTTTTTGTTACATAGCAACATTTTATCCACAAAAAACCCAGCAGGTGGATGTTTTCAAAATCAGCAAATTAAACTAAACTGTGTCCCTGCATTAAATGGATGAAAATGGATGTGGCCTCTTGGGTCAGTTGACCCTGTTCTAATAAAACAATCCAGGGAAGGGCTAAACATTTCATGTATGTGCATAGAAAAACGAGCACAGAAAAAAAAAATAAGTCGTAGATAATATGCTTTTTCTCCTGTTAACCTCTTAGCATGAGAAGTTCCAACTGCTTTTCCTAATGGTAAAAAATGTTTTTAAATGATATTTTACTCCACATTCTGTTGTATCATGGAGATTTTCTTTTTCTTTAACCCTGTTTTTTGAGGTTTCAGTCTTAGATGAGTAATAAATACATACCACACAGATTAAACTCTCTAATCCATCTACAGGACACAGATTAGGGGAGAGACCATTTAAGGTTTGCTGATTTAAAAAAAATCCTATTAAAAACAAAAAAACTCTATTAGTTTTTTTAAGTTAGCTAGAAACATCCATGCGAGAGGAGCATGCTTTGTTAAATGAAATGTTAAACCTGTAACTTTCAACAAATTATGAAAACAATTAGCTGGGAAATATCTCAAAGCAAACAGACCACTTCGCATCTCATTCATCCAAGCATTCAAGTATAAAAAGAACCCTGCTGCTTCTATAAACAAACAACTCCTCACATTTTCTCACCATTTGTTAAGTCATCAAATATTTTTTAAACGGAACATTTCTTGGTGGGTTGTTTATTTTTCCCCAACCCCACTCACTTCAGAAACAACAAATAAACAAGCTTTGGGGAAAATTTGGCCAGGTGGATTGTTTTCCCAAAGCATTGCCTAGCAAACAATATATATATATATATATAAGATATATAATCACCTACAGAGAATATAGATTAAATTTAGTAAAGTGGCTTACAAAGGACTACCAGATTTTGATAATATATAATCGGTCTATATATTTGATTGGTATATGATCATAGCTTTTTATGATCTGTTAGCTTATGAGGAATGAGAATGTTTTTAAGCAACTAGTTTGCCGATTTTGTCTAAATTTGTTTTGTATCTAAGTCCACTCTATAGTGTCCAGATGGGGGAAAAAATGGATTCAGTGGAATAAAAGCAGAGTGATTGAGAAGTATGGAAATTATCAATATTTTCCAAGTCATCCAAAGTGCGTATGTCCTAATAGTTACCGGGAGAGAAACAGGTGGGGGTTTTTTGTTTGTTTTGTTTTTAATGATTTGATGCTGAAATCATAGATCAGCAAAAATCATTTTTGGTTCCCCGATGGAGGACCAACATGAGAATCTCTGACAAATTTTCACCAATGTAAATTCCTCTAAACCTTTTCACCAATGTTCTGAAAACTCGTGGGAGCAAAGTTGCACAAGGGTAGAAGGTGTGACGTAACAGGGTGAGATATGACTGGGCTGGAAGCATGCAGTGGACTTTCACAAAGGATGAGAGTAGAAGGCATCAGTTAAAGTGGTACAAGAAAGGTGGAAAGATTGAGCAGAGGATGTGCTTGCCTATCTCTTTTTGAAGTCCTATGAGTATAAATGATGGCATGGGTGATGCCTGTTTGGTAAGAGTAATGTAGATATCCACACGGTACTTACCTAGGGCTATATAATTTACTCATGTGGATTGACAGGCACCACTAGGAAGATAGTTCATTCATTCTATTTCACTGTAGGGTTAAGTAATGCTTTCTTTCACTTATAAGCAATTCCAGGGAGTAGAAATGAACATTATTCCATGAATGAAAAAGTGCATGATGCCCAGAAAGTCAAAGTTATTATAGAAGCGACACTGACTATTTCAATTATTTAAGGCCAATGAACTTCACAAATCACTGTCTAAATCAGATTTGCTCATGTCGAAGCTCATTTGTATCCACTTTTCACCTTGGAAGCAATGTTGATTTTATTATTTTTTATTGCTTTTTGGATGCTGAAATAAAAATAAGAATTTCAAAATAGCACTCTCCCAGTATAAACCAACAAACAAGTAAACAGAAAACAGAGTACCTTTAAAATTCCGACATTTAAATGCAATAAATACTTCAAAACAGTGGGTACTAAAAGATTAGTATAAATATTTTCTAAATATTTACTTTTCAACCATATTAGCTCTTATTTATTAAATAAAAACAGTCCCTTCAAATGATCATACTTTTCAACTCAAATTTGAGAGTCATTTTATTTCTTTTAATAATAGAAATGACACAAAACTAGGCATTTTAATATAATAGTAATAATAAGAGTGCAAGCTATTATTTTGACTGTGAGTTCACTTACCAATTTAGCCAAACATTAGTCTGTTGATTCAATTGTATTTCACAGCTGAAATTTCTTACCTCGGACTGTTAGAGAAGCAGAGGCTTCTACTTTTCCAACCCGATTCTCGGCAATACACAGATAGGTGCCTTCATCTGTACTCATGGCCTTTTTAATTCTCAGGGTGTAATCATCTTTGATGTCATACCTGCGTGGAAATGAATTGATTTTATTAAATAACATATTGGCTATATTAAGATAACATTGTGTTTTCATCTTCATTTTTCTCTTTTGGTATTGTATTTTAACTAAAATAAAACACACATGCATACATAATAATCAGCCACAAAATGCAATTGTTAGATTAAAGTTGTTACTAAATAAGATCATTAATTTCAGAGGTGGGAACGCCTGAGTGGCTCAGTGGTTGAGCATCTGCCTTCAGCTCAGGGCATGATCTCGGAGTCCCAGGATCAAGTCCCACATCAGGCTCCCTGCATGGAGCCTGCTTCTTCTGCCTATGTCTCTGCCTCTCTCTCTGTGTGTGTTTCTCATGAATAAATAAATAAATAAAATCTTAAAAAAAATTTTTTTTAATTTCACATGTGATCTCTTTCAGTTTGATTACCAATTACCCATATTTTTATACATATAACAACTCTTACTGCATCAAGACTATCAAAGGTGTTATTAGCATTTTGGCTTTTTTCTCTTAGTTCTTAGTAAGTAAGGAATAGTGTATATTTCAGTTTCTAGGGGAGTTATATTCTATTATTTTCTGGGTTACACTGTATTTCAATATATGATTTACTTGGGGCATCTTGAATATAGAGCTGAAATATATTAAAGGAAATCTTTTCCTCTTATTTGTTGGCAAACACACAAATACATTGTTGAAAGAATTAAGAAGGGGCTGATTTTTAAAAATTAGTAATATCAACACAAAACATCAACATGCCATGGAATGATTTCTGGAAATGCACATCCTCAGCTCTTTCCACACTTTTATTTTCTCGCTTCTTCTTCTTTTTTTTTTAACAAGTAGACCAATACACTAGTTCAGAAAAAGATTCTGAAATTTAATTCATTTTAATGAATCTGCTGAAATACTTGCATAAGAATATGCTCTTATTAGATTCAGAGGTTACAATTACACAAGCAAAATAACAAAGCTATTATCTTTTCATTCTTTTCATATCTGATCTTTCCTCTTGATTTTCACTGATGGTCTTTGTTATTTCACACACATAATTTTGCAATAGCTTTTGATTGATGATATTGCCTCTCCATGTATATCACACAGATAAAGCTGTATTTTTAAAATATTTGTTTCTACCTACTCAAAACTAGCTGTGACTTCCTATTGATTTCAAGACAAAAGCAAACTTTTTAGGCTTGCATTGAAGACTACTATTTCAGATTTCTTCTACTTTGGGCTTAGGCTAAAAGAATAATATTTTAAGTTTACTGCAATGTAAAGGACATAGACCTAATAATTATTCTGTTTGATAGAACTTTGCATGACACAAAGCAATGTCTATAAACCAATCATGCTACAACTAAACTTCAACAGGGACACCTAGGGGCTCAGTCGGTTAAGCGTCTGCCTTCAGCTCAGATCATGGTCTCAGCGTCTTAGGATCAAGCCTTGCATCAGGCTTTCTGCTCAGCCAGGAGTCCACCTCTTCCTCTGCCCCTCATCCCCATTGTGCACTCATGTTCTTTTTCTCAAATAAATAAAATCTTTAAAAAAAATAAAGTATTTTACTGTAGAAAAGGGGTACACACAGAGTGGAATAAGTGCCAGGTTGAGAGTCAGAGGTCAAGATCTGAATTCTGATTTTTCTCTTTAGTAGTAAAATGACTTGAGCAAATCATTTCACTTGAATAAGGGTCAGTTTCCATTTGTAAAATGACAATCTCTGATTCAGAGAATTATTTTGAGGATGCTATTAGCTAATGGATGTGAGTCTTTTTGATTTGCTTGTTTAAAATGTGAGGCAACATACAGTTTTTAATTTTTTTCCTAAATGACAGATCAGAAATCATATACAATACAAGTATCTTTTTAAAAAAAAACTTAGAATAATATTTTCATGTGTGTTTGATCCAGAGAGGATTTTACAGGCATTCAAGTCTGCAAAATCTTCCCCTCTTTAACGTTTTTTTTTTTTTTTAAGATTGTATTTATATATTCATGAGAGACAGAGAAAGAGGCAGAGACATAAGCAGAGGGAGAAGCAGGCTCCATGCAAGGAGCCTGATGTGGGACTTGATCCCAGGACCCCAGGATCACAACCTGAGTCAAACGCAGATGCTCAACCACTGAACCACCCAGGCTCCTCTTTTAACTTTCGATAAAAATTCAGAGAGCTATGAAGAGACTTTATCAAGTCAAACAAAAGCCATGACAAAATGCTAGCCAGAATTCAGTTTCTTAGGATGAATTAGAAATGTCTACAAAATGCAACGGGGGAAGGGGCAGAGAGAGAAGCAGACTCCTGGCTGAGCAGGGAGCCCAGTGCAGGGCTGGATCATAATCTGAGTCAAAGGCAGACACTTATCCAACTGAGCCACTCAGGTATCCCTGTTGAATTTTTAAGTGCTAACTTAAGATGTATATGACACATTATCTATATCATTTGGATATAAATATAATTTCACATTCAACAAACATTTAGTTCTACCATATGGGAGAATTTACCTCAGGTTAGATAAATTCATCCTGTAGGGAACAATGTGGGGGATAAACAGAGTAAGAAAACTATTTATATCTTGCATTAGTAAGTAGAAAATGTTTACTTATAAATCACAGATACATAATATTTGAACCCAAAATAAGTCTGAAATGAGACTTGTTGAGATTTCTTATATTTTTAAGGAGTATTAAAGAAAACCGAGAATAGGAATGGGAATATTGCATCAATATTTTAATTTTTTTTTTGTTCTTTTAAATTGGTTTTGTTTGTTTAAGGGTTCCTTGGTCAGGGATACAAGTAACTGTGCATTCTACTCTTTGATTGTTATTTTGTTTTCATAAGAAAAATGAAAAATGAAATACAGGTTGGGAGGAATGAATTGTATTAATCTTAGCTAGTAATATAAGAGGGTACCTTTCAAAGATAACATGCCACTATAAGAAATTGGGATACTTCCTTTTTTTTTTTTTCTCCTAAATAGAGACACGGTTTCAGGTTGTAAAACTCTGAATAAGGATAATGGGCTGGTGCTATGGAGCTTATAATTTACCCCTGAAAGTCATTGACATCTGAGAAAATTATAATGAAAATTTAATTATTTCATTCAAGATACTAATATTTAAGGAGATTTATGCCAGGCACTGCATTAAAACTGGGGATACATGCTTTCATAAACCTCTGAGCCTAGTGAAATGATTCTCAACTGGAAGGGATGAGATATGACTCCACACAAAGGTATATCAGAAGTACCTCTAAGACTTTCTCCAGCTAACACATACTTTTCTCCAGCCCCAAGGTTTGGTATGCATACATTTCTGAGGGCCATGCTGTCCTATCCCAATTAGAAATAACAATACACTAGTCCTGCTAGGTCCCATCATACAGGAGTTTGAAATTTAAAACAAACCAACATCAAGAACAACAATAACAAATTTGAATACTCTTAGGTATCATGGGGTGCTCAGAATCTTTAAATTCTCATTATACACTGGATCTTTGCCCGAGTAAAGATTGTGAATATTAGCATTATGAATTTATATAAAATTATTTTGAATATATACAAAATGACTGAATCTTTCCATTAAGAGAAACTTCAAAACCTCCTCTTCTGCAACCATGATCAACATCTGAATCCTATATGTCACAATATACCAATCAGCCTTCCTTTCAACTTCTTCCTATGATGAATGACCTCTTCCATTTTTGAATACTGCTGATCTCTATTAGAAGGTCTCCTATAGATGATAAACAAACAAACAAACAAACAAAAACCTTCTTCCAGAAGTTTCTGCTAATGCTTTTACTTCCTATGCCAACTTGAAAGGTGTATGCTCTTTCCTGCATGACAGCCTTTTGAATTTTACTTTTTTTTTTTTTTTACAAATTATCTCATTTTTAGGTCAACTACTTCTAATAACAAACTGTATAATGTGATAACAGTTATAATCTGAGTGTTTTAAGAAGAACAAAGAGTATCAATACAAATTCACTGGTTGATATACCTAAATATGATTATGTTGTTCTATTTGAAACCATCCAATGATTTATCATTCAGTCACTCAGAATAAAACCTATTTCTATGATCTTCAGAGTTTTAGATAATCTAATTCTTGCTTACCTGTCCAGTTTCATGTTCACTCTTTTCTAACCACATGAGTCTTTTCTTTGTTTAACTGAACACCTAGTTACCACAATGTCTTTGTACTGTTGCAACTTCATGGAATGCCTTTCCCCTCCATCTTCCATTGCTAATCTTTAACTTTCAAGATGACATAAATATTCCCTCAAAGATGTCTTTCCTGCCCAAACAATGTGAAGTAGCTTTCTACCCACCAGTGACTTTTAAAAATTACTTTTATTTCTTTTTATTTTATTATCCTCATTTTCTACTTTTATTTTTTTTCTTTAAAGCTATATCTTTTGAGTTTTTAGTTTCCTTATTTATTGTCTTTCCAAGAGCATATGTGTTCCATGAGAACAAGAACTAAATCTCTCTTATTCCAACTATGTACCTCAAGTCCTATCCAACAGCCCCTGAGATCTTGGATGTGTCCGATGAATGCTTATTGAATGAATGATGAACCACCCAACAAATGCCTGAATTTCTTCTGTATTTCTTTCAAAATAGAGTTACCAGTACAACAACTGTATGTAGAATGGAAAGAGTAACTATTTTGAAGCATAGCATCCTACTATATCAAGGAATATAATAATATTTTTTAGATTTATAGATCAGCAGTTAGCTCTGAAACATTGGCTAAGTTAGTATCAACATAATATTGTGAATGTAACAACTCAAAACATTTAATACATAAATGCTACTAGAAAGATACAGACCAGGGGAATCCCTGGGTGGCGCAGCGGAAAGAAATTAGCTAATCTTGACCAGCAATTTAGACATTTGGTTTACAAGCTATCATTAATAAAATTCACTCTATAAATTAATAATATGAAAAAATAATCTCTCTTCCTACAAGGGAATAAATGAAATGATTCTAGAAGAATATCT